TTGGAGATAAGAGTCTCACAGACTTTCCTTCCCGAGCTGGCTTTGAACTGTGAGCCTCAGATCTCAGCCTCCTGGTTAGCTAGGATTACAGGTGTGAGCCACTGGCACCAGCTAAAAGCTTTAAAAAAAAAAATGGTGCTTTGGGGGTTTTTTTGGGCCAGTCCTGGGGCTTAAATTTAGGTCCTGGGCTCTGTCACTGAGCCTCTTTTGCTCAAGACTAGCACTCTACCACTTGAGCCACAGTACCGCTTCTGGCTTTTTCTGTTTATGTGGTACTGAGGAATCGAACTCAGGACTTCATGCATGCTAGGTAAGCACTCTACCACTAAGCCACATTCCCAGCCCCCAGAGCTTCTTTTAGTCAAGGTTAGCACTATACCGCTTGAGTTACAGTGCCACTTCTGGCTTTTTCCTCTTTTTTCTTTTCTTTTCTTTTTTTTTTTTTTTGTTGTTATCAGTCACTGGGCTTGAACTCTGGGCCTGGGCACTATCCCTCAGCTCTTTTTTTTTTTTTTTGGGTCCGGTCGTGGGGCCTGAACTCTGGGCCTGGGTGCTGTCCCTCAGCTCTTCAGCTCAAAGCTAGCACTCTACCACTTGAGCCATAGCGCCACTTCCGGCTTTTTTCTTTTTGCTTATGTGGTGCTGAGGAATTGAACCCAGGGCCTCAGGCATGCAAGGTAAACACTCTACCACTGAGCCACCTTCCCAGCCCCTCCCCTCCTTATATATATATGTTTTTTATTGCATATTTAAAATAATTGTTTGGCTGTAGTTTTCAGAAGAGAATTGCTGGATTGTAGGTTATGAATACCAAGTTGCTTTTCAATGTGGTTGAATAAATTTATGCTTTCACTGGTAATATATACGATACCGAGGTCATATTCTCTCTTACTCTTAAAATTAGATGTTTTATTTTTTTAAAAAAGAAAAAAATAGTACTAGGAGTTGAACATGGCCTCCTGCTTGTTTGGCAAGTGCTGTACCACTTGAATTATGCCCCTGACCTTTTGCTTATTAGTTTGTTGTTCAGATAGGGTCTCAGGCTAACTTTACCTCAGGTGACCTCAAATCTTTATCTTCCTACCTCATTTACCTCAAAGTATCTGCGATTATAGACATGCATTTCATCCTTACAATTAGACTTACAGTTTTTTGTTAGCATAAGTTACTTAACCAAAAGTATTTCATTGGGGCTGGGAAGGTGGCTCAGTGGTAGAGTGCTTGCCTTGCATGCATGAGGCTCTGGGTTCGATTCCTCAGCACCACATAAACAAAAAAAGCCAGAAGTGGCACTATGGCTCCAGTGGTAGAGCGGGAGCCTTGAGCTGAAGAGCTGAGGGACTGATGAGCTGAGCTCCCAGCCCCAGAGTTCAGGCTCCATGACCAACCAAAAAAAAGTATTTTATTACTCTTTTTTGTGATCTTGATTAGCAGGTTGCTGGTGACAAATAAAATTGAACATAGCTTGGTGCTGGTGACTCAGTGCCTTATCATTCTACCTATTAAGGAGGCTGAAACCTGGAGAATGGCAGTTTGAAGCCATATCAGGTAGAAAAGTCTGTAACTCTGCAGTTAACCAGCAAAATGCCTGAAATAGAGGCGCAGCTCCTGAGTAGCCACCAGGGCCCAACTGTCTTATGTGTCCTGGTGATTTTTTACTATGGAGTCACCTTTTTTTTTTGGACCTGTGACTTAAACTCTGGGCTTGGGTGCTGCCCTTCACTCTTCAGCTTAAGGCTAGCTCTCTACCCCTTGACCCACAGTGCCACTCCCAGTTTTTTAGTGGTTTATTGGAGATAAGAGTCTCACGGATTTTTCTGCCCAGGCTGGCTTTGAACCATGATCCTCGTTTCCCAGCCTCCTGAGTAGCTAGGATTACAGATGTGAGTCACCAGTGTCGGACTGAAAATGTTTTTGTTTTTGTTTTTTTTTTTTTTTTGTCCATTGTGGGGCTTGAACTCTGGGTCTGGATGCTGTCCCTCAGCTCTTCAGCTCAAGGTGAACTCTCTGCCACTTGACCCACAACGCCACTTCCGGTTTTCTAGTGGTTAATTGGAGATAAGAGTCTCGTGGACTTTCCTGCCTGGGCTGGCTTTGAACCATGATCCTCAGATCTCAACCTCCTCAGTAGCTAGGATTACAGGTGTGAGAGCCACCAGCGTCTGGCCTATATTGATTTTTTATGGCCTACAAATGATGTTATAAATATCCAAGTGGCCTGGTAAACAGGTTCTTGCTTTAAGGAACAGGCTTAGGGATGAGCCTCAAGTTCTCACTTGGCTTTCTTGCTCATGGCTGGTATTCTACCATTTGACCTGTACTTTAAGTCTGACATTTTGCTGGTTAATTGGAAATGGAGTCTTAAGGATTTTTTACCTAAGCTGATTTTAAACCTCCATCTTCTAGGTCTCAACCACCCATCTAGTTAGGATTTTAAGCAAGAGCCACTTGTACCCAATGAGAAGCAATTTCTTTTTTGTCAGTCATGGGGCTTGAACTCAGGGCCTTGGCACTTTCCCTGTGGTTCTTTTGCTCAAGACTAGCACTCTACCACTTAAGCCACAGCGCCACTTCCGGCTTTTTCTGTTGATATGGTTCTGAGGAATCGAATCTAGGGCTTCATTCATGCTAGGCAAGCACTCTACCACTAAGCCACATTCCCAGCCAAAGCAATTTCTTAAAAAGAGGCAAGTTGAGTTGAATACAGTAGCTAATAATCCTAATAGGGGGCTGAAGCAGAAGGATCACAAGGCTAGGGTACATAGTGAGGCACTCCAAAGAAATAAAAAAGAGGCCGGGCAATGGTGGTTCACTCCAGTAATCCTAGCTACTCAGTTCAGATCCAGGCTGGCAAGACAAATCTATGACTTGTATGTTTAGCTAACCAGTAAAAAGGTAGAACTGGAGGTGTGACTCAAGTGGTAGAGCATCAATCAGCCTTGAACAGAAAAAGCTGAGCAAGAGCACAAGGCCCTGAGAACATGAATGAACAAGTAAGGGAAAGAATGAGTCAGAATGATGAGATGACCCCAAAATGATTATGTCAAGGAAATTTGTTGTTTTTCCAATCCTGAGGCTTGAACTCAGGGCCTGGGCACTGTTCTGAGATTCTTTTGCTCAAGGCTAGCACTCTACCACTTGAGCCACAGTGCCATTTTTGGCTTTTTCTGCTTATATGGTACTGAGGAATTGAACCTAGGGCTTCATGCACACTATGTAAGCACTCTACCACTAAGCTACCTTTCCAGCCCATCAAGGGAGTTTTAGTAGTTATGATGCCATCCAAATTGTTTCCATAATCATTTGTAAAGGATTTCCTATCTATTTCAATTGTCCTTAGACATCCACTGTTTGTTTTTTAAACTTTGGGAGCCAGCTGGCATTGGTGGCTCATGCCTGTAATCATAGCTACTCAGGAGGCTGATATTTGAGGATTGTGGTTCAAAGCCAGTCCAGGCAGAAAAGTCCATGGGACTCTTATCTCCAATTAAACACCAGAGAACTGGAAGTGGAGCTGTAGCTCAAAGTGGTAGAGGTCTAGCCTTGAATGAAAAAATCTCATCACCTCCTTGTTTCTATGTAGTAAGTGAGGAAATTTGGCTCAAGAGGTAATGGTAAGCTTAAACAGTAGAGCTCAAGCAGCTAGTCTTGTTTCTTTAATAATAAAGTCTGTCTGCCTGCCTGCCTGCCTGCCTGCCTGCCTGCCTGCTTGCCTGCCTGCCTGCCTGCCTTCCTTCCTTCCTTCCTTCCTTCCTTCCTTCCTTCCTTCCTTCCTTCCTTCCTTCCTTCCTGTCTGTTTGTCTGTCTGTCTTTTTGTGCTAGTTCTGGGGCTTGAATTCAGGGCAGTATCCCTAAGTTCTTACTTTTGCTCAAAGCTAGCACTCTACAGCTCCACTTACAGCTTTTTTGCTAGTTAATTGAAAATAGGAATCTCAGAAGTGGCGCTGTGGCTCAAGCGGTAGAGCGCTCGCCTTGAGCTGAAGAGCTGAGGGACAGCGTCCAAGCCCAGAGTTCAAGCCCCATGACAGACCAAAAAAAAAAAAACTTTGAAAATAAGAATCTCACAGATTCTTATGGTAGGGCTGGCTTTAAACCTTGATCTTCAAACCTCAGCTGTCTAAGTAGCTAGGATTGCAGGCGTGAGCTACCAATGCCTGTCTCAAGTGTACATTTTTCCTCCTCTTCTTCTTCCTCCCCTCCTCCTCTTCCTCCTTCCCCTCTCCCTCCTTCCCCTCCCCCTTCTTCTCCCCTCCCTTTCTTTCCCCTCTCCCTCCTCTCCCTCTTCTCCCTTCTCTCCCTCCTCTCCCTCCTCCCCCTCCTCCCCCTCTTCTCCCTCTTCTCCCTCCTTCCCCTCCCCCCATTCCCCACCCTCCCCCCTCGTCCTCTTCCTCCTCCTTCTGCCTGTCTTGGAGCTTAAAGTCAGGGTTTTAGTGCTGTCCCTGAACCCCTTTGTGCTCAAGGCTAGTACACTTGAGCCACAGTGCCACTTTGGCTTTTTCTGAATAGTATAACTGGGAGTCTTAGGGACTTTCCTGCCCAGGCTGGCTTCAAACTGCTATCCTCAAATCTCAGCCTCCTGAGTAGCTTGGATTGTAGGTATGAGCCACCAGCACCTGGCACGTGTACATATCTTTCTTTTTTTTTTTTTTGTCAGTCATGGGGCTTGAACTCTAGGCCTGGGTGCTGTCCCTCAGCTCTTCAGCTCAATGCTAGAGCTTTACTACTTGAGCCACAGAGCCACTTCCAATTTTCTGAGTGGTTTATTGGAGATAAGAATGTCACGGACTTTCCTGCCCAGGCTGGCTTTGAACTAGGATCCTCAGATCTCAGCTTCCTGAGTAGCTAGGATTACAGGCATGGGCCACTGGCACCCATGAGGCTTGAAACTAATCAGTTATTTATTCTGCCTAGTAATAACTGGGCAGTAAGTGTTCAAAGTAGTCTGGGTAAAGACTGACAGTAGAGAAAAATAACTTGACTTTCTCCCTTCTGCCCTCTAGCGCCCTCACAAAGCTAATGCTGAGGAGATGACCAAGTACCACAGTGATGACTACATTAAATTCTTGCGCTCCATTCGTCCAGACAACATGTCTGAGTACAGCAAACAGATGCAAAGATGTAAGTCTCTTCTGTTCCCTCACTACTCTTAGTCCCCAGCTGGACTTCCCTTCCATTAGAAACGCTGTTTCTGCCTTCCTTGGGCCTCATTTGACTAACATCTGTTTTTTTCCTAGCTTCCAAGGGTGCCTTTTTTCCCCCACTCAAGTCTGGTTTTCTTTGTTTCCTGATTATAAATAATAGAGGTTAGACATTCTCCAATTAGGTTTATAACTAGCTTGAATATACAGTCATTGTCATGGGACAAGCACTGAGCTGGAAAGGAGACAATGGGTACAGGGCCATCTTTTAACTCTTCACTGACTGGCAGGTCACTTCCCCTCAGATTTGTCTTTGGTAAGATGGGTTGGGCCATGTGATCTCTGACTCCTGTCCAACTGCAGCTGGTCTGACTTTGTGAGAATTGAGAGTTTAGACGCTACTTGATAGACTCTAGATGATCTCATCTTTGAGATGAGGTGATTCTATGCCTTGCCCCCGGGACCTGAAACCCTAGCACCCGTCCTCTCTCAGAAGCCGCACATTGGTTGAGGATTACTTTCGCTCTGGGAAAAATCTCTTCAAATTTATGATAGGCTGGGAATGTGGCTTAGTGGTGGAGTGCTTGCCTAGCTTGTATGAAGCCCTGGGTTCGATTCCTCAGTACCACATAAACAGAAAAGGCCAGAAGTAGTGCTGTGGTTTGAGTGGTAGAGTGCTAGCCTTGAGCAAAAGAAGTTTATGAGTTCAAACCCTGGGACTGGCCAAAAAAAAAAAATCAAATTTATGATAGCCAAATATGGTATATGTACCTGTAATCCCAGTACTCAGGAGGCTGAAGCAAGAGGCTCTCAAGTTTAAGGCTAGCCTGTTCTATACAATGAGACCATGCCTTTTAAAAAGTGGGGGGAGGGAACTAAATTGTCACATCTGACTTTCCTTTATGGTTAGCTTATATCACTTAGGATCTCATAAAATACAATAGTATTTAAGTATGTTCTTAAGTTATGTTTTAAAATGGCTCTGGGGTTTTAACTCAGAGCCTCATACTTGTTAACAAGGTGATCTCCCATACCCCAGCATTTTTTGCATGAATATTTTTGTGTGTTTGTTTGTTGCCGGGGCAAATTCAGGGCCTTGTGCTTACTTGGATTGGCTTGGTCACAGCTGATATTCTATCTTATGAGACGTGCCTTCAACCCAGTTTTTTGCTGGTTAATTAGAAATGGTGTCTCATTTGGTCATGGGGCTTGACTCAGGGCTCTGGCACTGTCCCTGAACTATTTTGCTCAAGGCTAGCACTCTACCACTTTGGACTACAGTGCCACTTCTGGTTTTCTGGTGATTAATTGAAGATAAATCACACTTTTCTTCCTGGGCTGGCTTTGAACTGTAATCCTCAGATCTCAGCCTTCTGAGTAGCTATGATTACAGGAGTAAGCCACCAGCACCAAGCTTTTTAAATTTATTTATTTTTATTTTTAGGTTTTTTTTTGCGTGAACTCAGGGCCTCAGCACTGCCCCTGAGCTTCTTTTGCTCAAGGCTAGCAGCCACTTGAGCTACAGCACCACTTCCAGCTTTTTCTGTTTATGTGGTACTGAGGAATCAAACCCACAAAGCACATTCCCAGCCTTTAATATTTGTTTGTTTGTTTACCAGTCCTGGGGCTTGAACTCGGGGCCCAGGCACTGTCCTTGACTTCTTTTGCTCAAGGCTAGCATTCTACCACTTGAGCCACAGTGCCACTTCCAGCTTTTTCTGCTTATGTGGTGCTGAGGAATTGAACCCAGGCTTCATGCCTGCTAGGCAAGCATTCTACCACTAAACCACATTCCCAGCTTTAAAAAATTTTTTAAACGGGGCTGGGAAGGTGGCTCAGTGGTAGAGCACTTGCCTTGCATGCATGAGGCCCTGGGTTCGACTCCTCAGCACCACATAATAAGAAAAAAAAAGCTGGAAGTGGCACTGTGACTCAAGTGGTAGAATGCTAGCCTTGAGCTAAAGAGCTGAGAGACAGAGCCCAGGCCCAGAGTTCAGGCCCCACAATTGGACCCCCCCCCAAAAAAAAAATTTTTTTTTATTTTAAATGAGCTTTAGTACTAAGGATTTGAGCTCAGGGTTGTGTGTACTCTGCCTCTTGAGCCATGCCCATGCCCAATTCTTTTCCTTTAGTTTGTTTGACAGATAGATTAAATAGCTGGCCTGGAACCGTAATCCTCTCTCCACCTCTCAAGTAGCTGGGATTGCAGGCATAAGCCACCTGACCTGGTTTATGAAGCTTTCTTTTTTTTTTTTTTTTTTTTTGTCGGTGGTGGGGCTTGAACTCTGGGCCTGAGCGCTGTCCCTCAGCTCTTCAGCTCAAGGCTAGTGCTCTACCACTTGAGCCACAGTGCCACTTCCAGTTTTCTGATGGTTTATTGGAGATAAGGGTTTCATGGACTTTCCTGCCCGGGCTGGCTTTAAACTGAGATCCTCAGATCTCAGCCTCCTGAGTAGCTAGGATTACAGGCATGAGCCACCAGCGCCTGGCTTTTTGATCCTTTCTGTGTGTGTTGGTCCTGGGGCTTGAACTCAGAGCCTGGACACTGTCCTTTATCTTTTGTATTTAAGGCTAGCACTCTACCTTTGAGCCACAGCTCCACTTCTGGCTTTTTTCATGTTTAATTGTAAATATGAGTCTCACACTTTCCTGCCCAGGCTGGCTTCGAACTGTAATCCTTAGATAATAGCCTCCTGAGTATGAGCTACCTGCACCTGACCTAAAGCTATTTTTTTAATGGACTTGACCACTCATAGATTTTGGTTTCTGATTAATATCCTGGAACTAAGCCTTTCGTTGACACTGAGATGACTACTTCTAAATATGATCCATATGAAGTATTTCAAATACAAAAATTATTTTTTAAAAAAGTCATGTAACAGCGACTAGCCTAAGAAAGAAGACATGGTGTAATACAGTTGAAGTCTACTTCTTGGTCATATCCACTTTCTTAGGGTCATTACAGTATAAGCTGTGCTCTAAAGTTCATGTTCAATCCTGTATATCTCTGTATAGGATAGGATTCCTTTGCTGTGTTTTTGGAGTTTTTACTTTGTTTTCTAGTACTCGAGTTTGAACTCAGGACCTTGCGCTCCCACTTGACTTTCTACTTCAACCACCTCCACTTTTGAGTTTTTACCATCTATCTACCTGAGCTTAGTCTGAACTGTGATTCTAAGATCTCAGCCTCCTGAGTAGCTTGGGTTATAGATATGAGCCACAGTGCCCGGCTTAATTTGCTTATTTGTTTTCTGAGTTTCAGAAGGTTGTACAAGGGTATACAATCTAACATGTCCATTTAAGTGTCCAGACTAGGTGCCAGTGGCTCGTGCCAGTTTTTCTAGGTACTCAGAAGGCTGAGACCTGAGGATCATAGTTCCCAGGCAGTTCTTCAATTAACCACCAAAAAAACTGAAAGTGGAGTTGAAGTGTCCATTGCTGCACACTGGTTACTTTTCCTTTTGAGACTGGGTTCTTAGATGTGTTGCCAGGTTGGTCTCAAAGCTGCAATCCTCTCGCCTCAGCGTTCTTGGTGAGTGCCACTGCTCTGAGAAGGTGATTATCTGTTTATTCATTTTCCCTTTTCCCACATCTAATTCCATAGGTCCTTGAACCTGAGGAAAACAGATTGGCTGCTGGATTATTGCCCAAAGGAAAATATTTTTTCCTCATATCTAAAATTTTTACTCCCATGATGACTTCGAATTCCATATGGGAATATAAACAAAACTTTATTTATTTATTTATTTTGGGGGGGGGTCCGGTCGTTGCGCCTGAACTCGGCCTGGGCGCTGTCCCTCAGCTCTTCAGCTCAAGCTAATGCTCTACCACGTGAGCCACAGTGCCACTTCCGGCTTTTTTCTTTTTGCTTATCTGGTGCTGAGGAATTGAACCCAGGGCCTCATGCATGCAAGGCAAACACTACCACTGAGCCACCTTCCCAGCCCTATTTATAACTCCATAGTAGAGAGCTAAAGTTCTTATTGACATAGCCTCCCAGTGTTTACCCTGGAAAGGGTAAGGAAGAGCTGCCTATTGCTCACTTCCTGTGCAGCTACAATGTCAGAGCACCAGATCTTTGGCACCCTCCAAGTTAGAGTGCCAGTGTTGGTCAGTCTTGAGGTCATTACAGATTCTGAGTTTCAGCTGTGTCTTGATGTTAACCACAATCAGGCTGGCTTCTTCCACCTTCTTCATCTCAAGGCTTTTTCTCCTTGCTGCACTTTGGGAACCCATGATTAACCATGGGAAAAACCCAGGGGTGAGGGATGGGATCTAGCACAACTCCTGTCTCTGACTTCTACATCACTGAAGTCCCAGTAGTGTCATTTCCTGTGAGAGGAGACAGCGCACTGGGCTTCCTCTCTAGCTCTGTGAGACTACGCTGTCCAGGTGTGCTTTCCTTCCTGTCTGTTTTGTTTCATTTGCATTACTGTTTGCATGTGTTTCCACATTATGCACTAATGTGTACTTTTACCCCTAGAGGCCTGAAATAACTTTGGTGTAGCTCTTGTGGGTGTGGTAGAAAGCACACAGAGTGTGGGAGTTCAGACACCTGGGCTCTTGATTCTGGCTCCATGGTTCTTTTGTCTTGGACAGGTCTCTCAGCTTCTCCCTGTTCTTTTCCCTCTGTATAGTCGGCTTGATATCTGTCTGGCCGGATTCATGGAGTTGTTGCGATCATCAAACAAGATTGTATACATGAAAGCCCCTCTGAAAAGGACAAGGACACATTTCCCTCAGGGTATATTCTTTTAGGCTTTTAGGACAAGCTTGAAGCTGGAATACTGATTTCTCCACTTATAAGATTTGACCAAGGGGGGAGGGGGAAGGCTGGGAAGGGATGTGAAGGGTAAACAAAGGAGGAGGCTGCAATGCTTGGTAAGAAATGTACGCATTATCCTGCCCATGTAATTGTACAGTATGTTCACAAATAAAATAAAATTAAATTAAAAAAAAGATTTGACCAAATCCTACCTGAGCTTTTGTGAGGATAAATGCACCAGATAACAAAAGCAATTAGCATTGTGGTGTGTTGTGAGCACTTGATGAAGGTAGTTATGTAGGCCTCTGTTCTTCATGTCCTTCTTGATCATCTGGAATCAACTCAGGGATAAACTCAGGTTGGAAAAAGAAGAAAAGCTTTCTCAAAACCTCAAAGAGGTAGCTCAGTGGTAGAGTGCTTGCCTTGCATGCATGAGGCCCTGGGTTCAATTCCTCAGCACCACATAAGCAGAAAAAGCTGGAAGTCATGCTGTAGCTGAAGTGCTGAGGGACAGCGCCCAGGCCCAGAGTTCAGGCCCCATGACCGACAAAACAAGAACAAGAACAAGAAAGGCCTTAAAGAACTAACTACCTGGGGCGGGAAGGTGGCTCAGTGGTAGAGCGCTTGCCATGCATGCCTGAGGCTCTGGGTTCAATTCCTCAGCACCACATAAGCAAAAAGAAAAAAGCCGGAAGTGGCGCTGTGGCTCAAGTGGTAGAGTGGTAGTCTTGAGCTGAAGAGCTGAGGGACAGCGCCCAGGCCCAGAGTTCAGGCCCCACAACTGGACCAAAAAAAAAAAAAAATTAAAAAAAAAAAAGTAGCCATGTTTATTTTCCGTTGGACTAGGGTAGCAAGAGGGAGCTTACTTATGAGTTACAAAGTGCAGTGTCGAATAGGCAAGTTCTAACCTCTCACTGAGTTCTCTGGGCTTCTTGGAAGAAGGTGAGAGTAGTTTAGTAACTTATATTCTTTCTTTCCTTGCCCCAGCAAGTGCCGTGAAACTTAATAAGCAACAGACGGACATCGCTGTGAATTGGGCTGGGGGCCTGCACCATGCAAAGAAGTCTGAGGCATCTGGCTTCTGTTATGTCAACGATATCGTCTTGGCCATCCTGGAATTGCTAAAGTATGCCTGCCTGGCCTTGTCTCTTGGAGGAGCATGTTAGGCCAGGTTCCCACTTCCCTCTCCCTCTGGGCTTGCCTCCCTAGTTTGCTTTTCCTACGGTGTGCTGGCTAGGATGTGTTTGGTGAGTGTCTCTGGCCATCCTCTCCTTGGCGAGGGTCTTGGTTTGATCTGAGCCCACGGCAAGATCAGGGGCAGGTGCTGCTCAGATCCTGCCTCCAGAGGTCCCTGTGGCCGGAGTTGACCCTGGCTGTAGAGTAGGAAGATCGGACTTGGTCGGCTTGGTCAGGCCTCTGGAGACACCCGGCCGCTCTTCCACCTTCCTTCAGCCAGTTTCTACGTCTCTGGTGCTTAGAGATACCTGAGGGAGGCAGCTAGCCTGGTAAGCTGGGACCTGGCGCCCTTGGCGCGTCCCATCCCCAAGAGCCCCCGGACCCCTGACCCCTTTCTGATCCTAGGTATCACCAGAGGGTGCTGTATATTGACATTGATATTCACCATGGTGATGGCGTGGAAGAGGCCTTCTACACCACAGACCGCGTCATGACTGTGTCCTTTCATAAATATGGAGAGTACTTCCCAGGAACTGGTGACTTACGGGTGAGAACTCCCTTTAGGGGCCAACCAGATCACAGTTAGCCACTAGCTCTAAGTATCTTATCATATACCACTAACACCTACTTTCTGACTCTTCTGTCACTCAGAACACTGCAGCCTGAAACGCTTACTGTGGTGTGTGTCTGTGTCTGTGTCTTTCTCTCTCTCTCTGTCTTATTTTGTAGGAAGGGAATGATAGGACATACAGAATCAGAGAAAGAACATGGTCTCCAGATTCATAGTAATTCCTGGCCACAATTGGGTTGCATCATACTGCTTCTTGTGACCCATAAGGCCTTAGTTTGGGGATAGGAATTAGAACTTATATGTCTCATTTTTTTTATCATCTTTCCCATTTGGTCATCTGACTCAAAGCAAAGGACATACCCCAGAAAAGTACATGGAGTTTTACATGTAGAACAGTAATATATAAGCCTCCTTACTGAAACTGTTACTGTTAGCTTGATTGAATACAGTGAAATCAACCACTTTGCCATCCCAGTAACCCTTGTGTGGAAAAGTGGCATTAATTCAGATACTTGCTATGGCTAGCATTACAATAACTGAGAGTGGACTGTTTGGAAATTAGTTGGAAGAACTTGTCTTCCTCCTTCAGACCTCTCTCTCTAGAGAGAACAAAGGATAGAGTTACACAATAAAACTCTCTGGAAAGCCGGGCACTGGTGGCTCACGCCTGTAATCCTAGCTACCCAGGAGGCTGAGATCTGAGGATCGTGGTTCAAAGCCAGCCCGAGCAGGAGAGACCGTGAGACTCCTATCTCCAATAAACCACCAGAAAACCGGAAGTGGCGCTGTAGCTCAAGTGGTAGAGCGCTTGCCTTGAGCTGAAGAGCTGAGGGACAGCGCCCAGGCCCAGAGTTCAAGCCCAGGACCAACAACAACAAAAAAAAAACTCTCTGGAAAGGAAAGGGTTGTTGGGGGTGGATATCATTTCTGTGATCCAGCTGCCTGCCAGCTCTAACTCAATCTAAGGCAGAAATATGCTTTGGAGTAGGTTAGGCAGCTCTCATCTTCAGTGTCTCCAGAAATGTGAACTGGACTTGCCAGTTAAGGAAATGGTACTAACCAAGGTTACCCTGGTTGTCCCTTGGCTCCCCTTCCTGAGTCTACGTGACTCTTTCCTTAGTCTTGTCACCCCATCCTTGTGCTCCTTCCTGGCTTCATTTAGCAGTTTTACTTTTTATTGTTCCTCTTGATTAGGATATTGGGGCTGGCAAAGGCAAGTATTATGCTGTTAACTACCCACTCCGAGATGGCATCGATGATGAGTCCTATGAGGCCATCTTCAAGCCGGTAAGTGGCTTTATCCACCCCTTGGGTCACAAATAGGATTGGTCTAGGGGAAGGATAGCAAAGTACTATACCCTGCCCCAGAGTTCTCTCCCATTACAGCTTTTGGGAAAGGAGAGGTGTTTCAGTACTGGATTGTGTGGTTAAGGGAAGGAAATTTGTTGATGTCTTCTGTGGGTCTTGCTCACTGCTAGATATAAGAAATTTTTTTTTTGGTCGGTTGTGGGACTTGAACTCTGGGCCTAGGCACTGTCCTTCAACTCTTCAGCTCAAGGCGAGCGCTCTACCACTTGAGCCACAGCACCACTTCCAATTTTCTGGTAGTTTATTGGAGAGAAGAGTCTCACAGACTTTCCTGCCTGGCTTTGAACTACAATCCTCAGACCTCAGTCTTCTGAGTAACTAAGCCACCAATACCTGGCTAAATGCAAGAATGTTTAAAGCAGTGGAACGCTGTGGTTCATGCCTATAATCCTAGCTACTCGAGAGGCAGGGAGGAGCTAGAAATGTGGTTTAATGGTAGAGTGCTTGCCAAGCATTCATGAAGCCCTGGGTTCAATTCTTCAGTACCACATAAATGGCAAAAGCAGGAAGTGGTACTGTGGCTCAAGTGGTAGAGTGCTAGCCTTGAGTAAAAGAAGTTCAGGGACAGTGCCCAGGTCCTGAGTTCAATCCCCAGAACTAGCAAAAACAACAAAAATCAAGAGGAAGAGATCTGAGCGTCGAGGTTCAAAGCCATCCCAGGCAGACAAATCTGTAACTCTTACATCCATTTAACTACCAAAAAGCCAGAAGTAGAGGTATGGCTCAAGTGGTAGAGTAACAATCTTGATTGAAAAAGGGATAGTGCCTAGTCCTGAGTTCAAGCCCCAGTATCAGCACAAAAATAAATAAGAATGTTTAAGGCATGATCTTTGCCCTCATAGTCTGGAATGTTTGGTGGGAAGTGTAGAATGTGGTCAATCCATTTTATATCACCATTTCTTTGGGGTCTGTTTTGTTTTGTTTTTTTCTGGTCCTGGGGCTTGGACTCTGGGCCTCGATGTTGTCCTAGAGCTTCTTTTGCTCAAGGCCAGCGCTCTACCTCTTGAGCTACAGCACCACTTCCAGCTTTTTTGAAGTTTATTAGAGACAAGAATCTCATGGACTTTCTTGTTTGGGCTGGCTTCAAACTTCGATCCTCAGATCTCAGCCTCCTGAGTAGCTAGGATTATAGGCTTGAGCCACCAGCACCTGGCTCCTGGACTTTTTTTTTTTTCATATTTCTTTTTTCCTTGACATTTGCACATTTGAAGAAGTAGAATTTATTCTAATTTTTGCCCTGTGACTCTACCTAGGAAAGCCCTTTACTATCAGCTTATTCAGATATTCTGGGAAGGTCTTCAGGTGGCATGTTCTATAGGCAGGCTGCTTACCAGAGTCCTTGGGCAGATTGGTGTGGGGCCTGTGTTTTGAACAAAAGTGAGAGACAAGAGGCTGGAAATGTGGCTCAGTGGTAGAGCGCTTGCCTAGCATGCATGAAGCCCTGGTTTTGATTCCACAGTACTACATAAACAGAAAAAGCCAGAAGTGGTGCTGTGGCTCAAGTGTAAACTGCTAGCTTTGAGCAAAAGAAGTTCAGGGACAGCATCCAGGCCTTGAGTTCAAGCCCCAGGACTGGCAAAAAAAAAAAAAAAAAGTGAGAAACACCTACCGTCCAGGCTGGCAGAGGATAGTCAAGGATGAGTTCACAAAGATAGAGACATTGGCCCTGGAATAGTGAAGGACGTGTTCATGTGAAGGAGGTGGGGAAGAAGAATGGCATTCAGCAGAGGCAATAGCAGAAGGGCAGAGGTGCCAATGTATGGAGTGGCATGTAGACAGGTAAGTGTGGGAGGAGTGAACTAGTAATAGGAGAAAGATGTTGGAGTCCATGTTTCTTTTTTCTTATTTTGCCAGTCCTAAGGCTTAAACTCTGAGGGCCTAGGCGCTGTCGCTGAGCTTCTTTTGCTCAAGGCTAGATAGTGCTCTACCTCTTGAGCCACAGCATCACTTTTGGCTCTTTCTGTGATTTAATTGGAGATAAGAGTCTCACAGACGTTTCCTATCTGGACTGGCTTTGGACATGCTTTGAACTGTGAGCCTCAGATCTTGGCCTCTTGAGTAGGTAGGATTACAGGTGTGAGTCCCTGGGGCCTGGCTTTTTTTTTTTTTTTATAATTAACTTGTGTTGGATTCTGTGTATTTCAAAGGGAATCTTGAATGCCCCACTAAGGTGTTAGATCTGTACTAATGTGCTGTTAAGAAGCTTAAGCCAGGGCTGGGAAGGTGGCTCAGTGGTAGAGTGCTTGCCAAATGCATGAGGCCCTGGGTTCGATTCCTCAGCACCACATAAGCAGAAAAAAAAGCCAGAAATGGTGCTATAACTCGAGTGCTAGAGCACTAGCCTTGAGCTAAAGAGCTGAGGGACAGTGCCCAGGCCCAGGGTTCAGGCCCCATGACCGGCCAAAAAAACAAACAAAAAAAGAAGCTTAAGCCAATTCAGGTAGACCCTCTGCAACAAATATTAGACTCCAATTGTGAGAATAAGCTGCAAAAATAAAGCCTGTAATCCTACTCAGGATGCCCAGATTTGATGATTGTGTTGAGGAAAGTCCATGAGATTCTATCTCTGATTAACCAGCAAAAAGTTATAAGTAGAGCTCTAGTTCAAGTGGTAAAGCACCAGCCTTGAACAAAAAAGCAAAGGGACAGAACACACAGGCCCTGAATTCAAGTCCTAGAACCAGTGTTAAAAATAAGGGATGGGAAGGTAACTCAATGGTAGAGCGCTTGCTTTGCATGCCTGAGGCCCTGGGTTCGATTCCTCAGTACCACATAAGCAGAAGGGAAAAAAAAAGCCGGAAGTGGTGCTGTGGCTCAAGTGGTAGAGTGCTAGCCTTGAGCTGAAGAGCTGAGGGACAGCGCCCAGGCCCAGATTCAGGCCCCACGACCGGGCCCCCCCCCCAAAAAAAAGAAAAGTAAGTAAGTAAATACAGCATCTTTTTAATATAAAGCTAGAGCCAAATGAGTACAGCACAAGCAGTTTGGAGTTGGGGAGCTTCCCAAAGGAAGTGGCATGGCAGGGGAAGTTTAGGGAATTAACAGGGAGACCATTCAAGGTTCAGAATTAGGAAATCTCAGAGATCCTTTCACATTGTGTCCGTAACACAAATGAGGAAGAATGATAAGAAACAGAAGAAAATGTTGTGCCCACCTTCTCTACATGGTTTTTCTTGAGGTTAGTGACCAATATGTGTACTTTTAGGTCATGTCCAAAGTAATGGAGATGTTCCAGCCTAGTGCAGTGGTCTTACAGTGTGGCTCAGACTCCCTGTCTGGGGATCGGTTAGGTTGCTTCAATCTGACCATCAAAGGTGAGAGCAGGTAGCAAAGTGGAGGTGGGTAGGGTCCTTGCTGGGTGCTCGTGTAACATGGCACTGTTTCTCCAAAGGGCATGCCAAGTGTGTGGAATTTGTCAAGAGCTTCAACCTGCCCATGCTGATGCTAGGAGGAGGTGGTTACACCATTCGAAATGTTGCTCGGTGCTGGACATATGAAACAGCAGTGGCCCTGGACACAGAGATCCCAAATGGTATTAGCTCCAGAGCCAGGGTGGGTGGGGTGGGAGCTCGTGCTCTTATGCCGTTGAGGATACACCCCCTCCCTCCCCATTTGATTGTAAGATTCCTCATCTTCTGACACCAGTCCTTGAGTCTTTCTGCCTAGCCTCCAAGGTTGTAGACCAGAGCCATCAGCTTTTCCCTAGTCCCTTTTTATTCAGTCCCCTCCCTCCTGCTTTTGGAGTGAACATTATCAGTGCTTGTTGACAGCTTTGGAATTTCTGCTTTAGGGTAACTGCTTGAGTGAAAGGAATGCTCACAGTGAGCCATGCTTAGTGTCCTACACCAGAAGCTCACTCCTTCCCCTTCTAATTACACGTGTACAAGTGGGCACTAGAGAATGGTGTTGGAAAGGTTAAAATTCAGTGGTAGAGAGTCTGCCTGGCAGGCAAAAGGCCTGAGTTCAAACCCCAATACTGGGAAAAAAAAAAACACAAGAGATTAAAATTCTGTCGGTACTCTGTTCTCACACCATCTTGGAGGATTCTTGCTCTTTTGTAGATGGGTAAAACCTACAGAATCTTTTCTCAGAGTTCCATGGTATCAGGTCTCTTGACTCTTCTTTCCCCTGCCCCAATCAGAGCTGCCATACAATGACTATTTCGAATACTTTGGACCAGACTTCAAGCTTCACATCAGTCCTTCTAATATGACTAACCAGAACACTAATGAGTACCTGGAAAAGATCAAGTGAGTGAATTCCCCAGCCATCCTTTGGCTGAACGTTCCATGCTCTGGTGTTCCTAACTAGAACCTAGCCACCTTTTCTCCCTTGGCCATAGACAGCGGCTCTTTGAGAACCTGAGAATGCTACCCCATGCACCTGGGGTCCAAATGCAAGCAATTCCTGAGGACGCCATCCCAGAGGAGAGTGGTGATGAGGATGAAGAAGACCCGGACAAGCGCATCTCAAGTAAGCAAGAGCCTGTATCTCCCCACTCAGTGGGCAGCTTGGACTACCCTCTACCTTTTCTGGGGCCCATCTGTTGAAAACTTAAGTTTCAAGTTCCAGCGCCTCTAGGAACAGGTTACAGAGCCCAAGACCCTTCTCTTTTCCCTGGTGCTAGGTATTGAACCCATGTCCTATGCTAGGCAAGTACCCTCTCTATTACGAATATGTCCAGCGTGCCCCCTCCCCCATCACATGGATGCGCTAAGCACAGGTCCTAAGATGAAAAAGCCCCTTGCTTTCTCACCCATGTTTTCCATCCACTGCCTCAGTCTGCTCCTCTGACAAACGAATTGCCTGTGAGGAAGAATTCTCTGACTCAGATGAGGAGGGAGAGGGTGGCCGCAAGAACTCTTCCAATTTCAAAAAAGCCAAGAGAGTCAAAACAGAGGATGAAAAAGAGAAAGACCCAGAAGAGAAGAAAGGTGGGTTTGTGTTGGCCAGCACTTGGGTCTAGCGTCCTGGGCCCTGGAGGATGAATCTATGTAGGGCACCAGGGGGAGGGAATTGACCCAGGCCCTGCCAGCTCCTGTGGGGCTCTAACTCAGCTCCTTAGGCCTTTCAGTGGCTCTCAGAAGTGGCAGGGCCAAAGAAACAATGACACTCTGGCTCTCACATACCACCCAAGCCCTTTTCCCAGCACTTCACCCCAGTTTCCCAGGGGGCTGCCTCCGCCCACCGGGTTCTGGCTCCAGCAGGCTGTGAAACCGGTCCAACCTGTTTGTTTTTAACAGGGCTCACTGGGAGGACCTGGGATGAGCTTTTCTTGCTTTTCTATGTCCATCGAGCTGTCGTATAGGGAAGGGGTTTCAGAGGAAGTGAGGATCCCACGTTCCCCCTCCCCCCCTTCCCAGCTCTTTCCAGAGCGGCTTCCCTTAGCCATCCCTGCACTTTTTATGTTCTAGAAGTTACAGAAGAGGAGAAAACCAAGGAGGAGAAGCCAGAAGCCAAAGGGTGAGGAAGGAGCTGTCGGCCATCCCCTGGCATTGGAGCATCACCCCTTTTGCCCCCCCACTCTGAGAGGAAAGGCACAGGGACAGCTGGTCCAGCTTACAAAGGCCCCTTTCAGGGACCAGTCTGTCTGTCTCTGCAGTTCTAGGCAGAGCTAGGAAGCCCCAGCTCCCAGCAGTCACCTGGGCAGCCAGGGTCCTGTGGAAGTCATTGTATTCATACTTGCCTCAAGGCCTCTGCAGTGGGTTTATCTCATGCCAGTCTCTATTTTCTCCACAGGGTCAAAGAAGAGGTCAAGTTGGCCTGAGCAGACCTCTCCAGCTCTGGTTTCTTAACAAGTTCCCTACCTTTCTCCCTAACCCCTCAGATTTTATATTTTCTATTTCTCTGCGTATTTATATAAAAATATATTAAATATAAATATCCCCAGGGACTAGATAGGAACCAGGGCCCTAAGCCCAGGGCAGCAGTGCTGGGGGAACTTCCGGTAGCTGCCTTGCCCCCATCCCTCCCCGAGTCCTAGTTCTGAAGCATAAAAGGTGCAGGTCTGGGTGAAGGATGCAGCCATGACAAAAATCCTGAAATACCAAGTGCCTGCTTAGTAGTCCTGGAACAATGCCCTTATTAAGAAATAGTGGCTGGGTCTTCTAAATGCTACCAGCCATTTTTAGACTGGTTCTGTTTTCATACCTTGCCATTGGCCTCAGGTGAGTCAAGAAACTCCTGCTACCCTGTCCTCCCCAATTCTGTAGGTGGTTGGTAGTCTAACTTCCTTTTTGAGATACTATTTTCATTTTTGTGACTCTTTGTAATAAAATGGTACATTTCTATACCCTTCTGAGCTTGTTTGCCATCAGTATCCCCAGCTCTACTTTCCTGTTTCTTTGTCCCTTCTAGGCAACCCCATGCCCAGGAACCTACCTATCCTAATCCCCACCCACCCAGGGTCCCCCAATCTTCTCACCCTACCCCCAACACCACCCATTAAAGCACTACTAAAGGGACAACATTTATTCCTTTTCCAAATGTTACAGTAAAACCAGGTGAAAGAGGATGGTTTTAGCAATTAGAAAAAAAAAGTACAAATCTGGGATTTGGCCATTAAAAGTTATTTACAACAATGGGAGAAAAAAAAGACAACAAGAAGTTGTTTCACATTACAGACCTCCCTCCCGCCCCAAAGCCTAATACTTGCTTACCAAGTCAAAAAAGAGACACAGTTGATTCACAAGCTGGAGGTTTGAACTTGAGTAAGACATTTATAAAAACCTAGACAGGGGCAGTGTCCTCCCCAGCCCAGGTGCCACTAGGCACAGCACAGAGACTAAAAAACAACAGGGGAAGGCTGGACACTAGGGTTTGGGAGTATAAGCACCCCACTTCTGGCTCAGGGATTCGAGGAGTAGGATAAACAAAACCTACTTGGAAAAGAACTGGGGGAGAAAACCAGCAACTGCCTTCTGCAGGGGTGGGATAAGGAGGAAGGTAGGGCCAGGAAACAGGAGCATTTCACATCACTAACCTAACTTGGGAAACTGTAAGGGACCATCTCCAACTGGCAGTAAGAGAAAGCCCAGATGGATGATGGGAGAATCCACAAGAGGGAGAGGAGAGGGAACGTGGCTAGGAGGGGGGCAGTAAGCCCGCCCTTTCTGGGCACAGGAAGGCAGCCAGGGCACCAGATCCAGGCAGTGACCTCTTAAGGGCAGCACAGTTTTTGCAGCTTTGAGAGATCACCCACCTGCCCCCACCCAGCTACTCATTCTGCTCAGCGCTGGCCGATGCAGGGCCACTCTCAGGCCCCGAGGGAGTAGACGGCTCTGCAGCCTGGGGCCCTGCCTCCTCTTCTGCGTCTCCTCCCTTGGAGGCAGCACTAGCCTCTGCCCCTTTGGCCTGGGGTTCCTGGCTCTCAGGGGTGGCAACAGCCTTCCCTTCCTGGGCAGTGCCCTCGTCGCTGCAGGCGCCGATCTCTCCCTGCTCCTGCTCTTCCTCTGTGGGTGAGGAGGCAGAAGAATCACCCCCGCCCTCCTTCCGATTTCTCTTGAAGGACAGGCCGCTCAATTTGAAAGGCTTCTTGAAAGAGAATTTCTTCTTCTTCTTGGGGGTCTCCTTGGGGGGAGCCTCCCCCTTGGCCTCGGCGCCCTGGCTAGGGGGTGCTGGCTCAATGGCATCGCCAGTCGCCCCAGCTGCCTCTTCTGTTCCGTTCACGGGGGGCGACTCCCCTTCACCCTTGGGGGATAAGTCTCCATTGCTTTTCACGTGGCCATTCTCCTGTAGGGCAGAGGAGACAGCAGCAGTGAGGCCCAGACTCTGCTCCCCGTCCCCAGACCGGTGCTAGCCCCTCCCAAGCAACCGAGGACACCACTAAGGTCTACGGCACCCCAAAAGCCGGGCTCTGCCTTCCACCCACACCCGGGATTCCGTCAAACATCGTCCTCGCCCCTCATGGGGCGCGCCGGGACAGCCATGGCGGCCACCGCCGGCAGGAGGCGCTGGGGTCCCGGGCCCCCCCCCGCCTCCCCGGGGGGGGCGCGCTCTCCCCTCGAGGCGGAACCGATCCCAGCCTCAGATCCCGGGCGGGCCAGCGAGCCCCCACCCCCCACCCCCGGGCGGCATTGGGCGGGAAGCCGCCTCGGGGCGCTGCCCCACCACACCTGGACGGCCTATTCCCCCGCCTCCCGCTTTGTGTAAA